GTGCCGCCAAGGTACGCGTTCACCGCCTTCTGCAGCACAACGTGGATGTCCATGCGCTTGTCGCCGTAGCGGTCGAGCGAGACCTGCAGACACTCTTCACCGAACAGCTCCACCGTGAGCGGTGGCGGCGGCGGTGGTGGTGGGAGCGGCGCTGCGGAGCGAAGAGGGCCAGTGCCAGTGGTTGCGGCCGAGGCTGGCTCCGTCTCGAGACCTGTGGCGGGGTCGTCGTACCCCGGCAGCAGGGAAAGGTCGCCGCCGGTGCTCTCCAAGAGCACCTTCACGTGGCTGGCGGTGACGCGTCCTCTGATGTGCGGAACCGTGTGCTTGTCGCGCTCACTGAGGTAGACATGCCGATCCTCGTCTTGAAAGAGCACCATCATCACAGTGTCGTAGAGCGTCTCGACGCTCGCCACCAAGTCATCGCCGAGGCACAGGGTGACGTGGTTAAAGTTGCAGCCGAAGGCGATGCCGGTGTCCTCGATGTTGTCTGCGAACGGTGAGAGCGCCAAAAAGCCGTCCGCCCAGACGTCGATGTCGATAAAGGGGTCCTTTGCTCGGGGCGGAATGCTATGGCACCACCCCTCCGTGGTGCCGCCAGCGGCGCTGAGGTGGATGTGCCAGCCATCGCCGAGGGTAGCGCAAACGCGAAACGCCTCCAGCGCCAGCGCGCCGTACTCGATGAACTCGAACCGCAGCACCAGCTCCACTGGCGGCTCCTTGACCTCCTCAGCTCGCGCAGGCGGGGCCGAGGTTGGGTCACTCGCGCTTGCGCCCCACCGCTGCTTCACAGACCCGAGCAGCAGCTTCACCTGCTCGAACCCCTCCACATTCGTCGACATGTTTGCACTGTCCGTCACCACCTCAACTCTTACACCGTCGCGGCCCAGAACTGGCGCTACAGAAACGGAGCACAGCAGGAGGAGGACGGTGCCATGCACAGCAGCGCTGACCTCTTGGATGGTAGCGACGATGGGCTTGTTTGGTGCCAAGGCAAGCTGTATGTGCTGCACGCACAGGCAGACGCCACCGGACTTCGCCGACACAGTCCGCACAAGAATGTCGAAGGATGCGAACGGCTGCTGCTGCTGCTGCTGAGGTGCTGCCTTGCCGCGTTTGAGCTTGTGCTCCACATTGACAGCGGAGGTAGAGATGCCTGCTGTGTCTCGCTGCAGAAAAGGCCGTGCCGCGGCAGCGTAGGATGCTGCCTTCGCAACGAGGAGTTCCTGGACAGACAAGTCGAGGCACGTCAGCGTTTCATCGACGACGAGCTCGCCGCTCGCGGTGGCGCGCCCCACCTTCGACACGGAGAGCCGAACGCCTGCGCCGTCGCGACCCGTGACGGCGAAAACAGGATTTTCGTCATCGTCTTCCGCCACAAGAGAAGTGGAGGCGACGGAGAGCTGCACTCGAGCCCCATCTTTTTGCACTGTCGCGCTAACGTAGGCATGCCTCATCACACCTCTTAAATCACGGTCGAGAGCAAGAGACAGCTCGGCACACTCAACGCTAAGCTCGATTTCCACCGGTAGCAACACAGAGGCGTCCAGATCAACAAAGGGCACATCGCGGGGCGAACGGTGGTCCGCGTAGCGATGCTGCAGATACTGCACATACGCGCTTTCCTGCGGCGGCATTCTTGAGCGCTCAAACTTCGCCACGGCGGCTCTGGCGGCGTTCCAGCACGCCATGGCATCTTGAACGGTGGTGCGCGCCAGCTGCTCTTCGCAGATGCTGTCCCCAGCACCGCGCGGAAGCCACGGAGCCTTGAGAAGCCGAAGACAAAACGTGAAAAAGCTGGTGAGGAACAGTTTTTGATCCCGGTATCCCTCCCAATCGAAGCGCCTGCGCCGGTGCTTGGCTCTTTCATGTGCGATTACTTTGTGTATCGCATAGGACCACCATCGCGCCGTACCGGCTGCGTCGCCACTCCGAATTCGCGTGGTTGGCCGCCTCTCCCACGCCAAGGCGCGGCGGGGTGCCTGCGTCACACTTTCGAGGAGTATGCCGATCGCGGTAATGCACCGGGCCTGCCACCGCAGCGCTGTGCGGTGCACCACAAGGGAAGCTCGCACGTGTGGCTTTCCGTGTGTGGAGGACAGAGAGGCAGGTAAACACATGGTGAGAACTCCGTCGGAGGAGACCAGCACCGCTTCGCTATCGCGGAAGGCGTCTGCGCTTGTCTGGAGTGCTGTTTCCGACGCCGGTGCTGACACGCTTGGGTCTCCCTGTCGGTCACTGATGGGGGAGTGAAGGAGCCGCACTGACGCCCCTTCGTATGACACAAGGCGATAGAGCCGCTCCTCCGCGTCCTGATCGGCATTGTTCTCGGGGTGGATGAAAACAGGCTTGTAGGCGCTGTCCGTTGCCTCGCAGGTGAGCTTGTCGATTTGCACCTGGACGCCTGCCGACTGCCCTTCCCAGCAGCCAGTTTTGTCCTCCAGTTGAAAGGACACGCTCTCAAGGCGGAAGACCAGGTTTTTCAGAATTGTCTGTTGCAGTCGACGCAGGAAGCCGTGCTTCGACTCCTTCTCGGGTGCCTCATCCTTCTCTGCATCCGCGAGGATACCTTGCACGGCGGCGAGGAACTCCTCTTTTGATCTAAAGAACGTTGCGGCGCTGTCGCGCAGCTGGTGCTTCGGCGAGACGATGATGACGACATCGCGTACGACGACCTCGCACTTTCTACTGTACAGCGAGTGCCACGGTATTTTGACACTGAGACTCCCTATCGTGCCGCCTTCGAGCTGCAGGTGTTCGGAGAAGGACAGCAAATCAGGCGAGAGTTTGAGCTTCTTCAGCTCGATGGAGCCCCTCAGCAGACTGACATGGACGGAGTCCTTGTTGAGACCCTGCACAAATTTCCCTAAGTAGGTGGATAGGATGAGGGCAATGTAGTTTGCGAACACCATACCTCATTCTGTGACGACCGCGATATGTGAGCGTGAGTAGTGGAGGCAGTCTTCAGAGAGCGACGACAACACCAGGACGCGCGCCAGAAATGGGCAGCAAGGTGAAAAAAAAAAAGAAGAGGAAAAAAACAAACAGGCAGACTATGAGCGGGAGAGGAGGAAGACCGCCGTTTCCAGTGGCATACAATATATATGTCGCGCGACGTCTCTGGCACGATGACACTGTATGGAAGCTAGTAGTGGTGGCACTGTGGAGAACCCCGGGGTCGTTGCACAGGATGGACGAGCGACAAAAAAAAAAAAAAAATGGAGGAGTAGTTCAATGGGGGGAGGGAGAAGGGGAAGGGAAAGGAAGGTACGAGAGTGGCAGGAGATCGACGGATCGGTGACTGCGGTTCCTCGTCTCGCAGTGGTGACTGTCATGCTGGCGTCCCTCAAAACGAAAAAAAAGAAATAGTGGTAGTTCGAAAAAGAAGTACCAGCAGGTGCACTGTAGCCAGCCAGCCACAGATTCAGCACCGCTCCTCTCTCTTCTGTTTGTTTGTTTGCCGAGTCCCGTGTTCTCGGTTTTTTTTTTTTTTTTAGTGTTCTTCCGCTCTTCCTGTTGTGAGCGGCTGGGTAGGTCGTGTTAAACAGAGTGCTTGGTCTCCTGCTCATCTGATTGGACGGCAGCCTTTTTTTTTTTTTTCGTGGCGGTGGATGACAGTGTGCTTCTTTTGTTTGTTTGGCTTTTTTTTTTTTTTTTACAGCAGCAGGTCCGAGAAGAGGCGACCACAGTAGATGCAGGTGGAGACTGGTTTGTCGTCGGTCTTGATTTGCACCAGCTTCCCGTTTTCGTCCAACAGCTTTTCGCTGAAGTGCACCATTTTGCCAAAGTTCGTGGAGCCCGGCAGGCTGTTGTACTGGTACCCATGCTCTGGACCGAGGTGCAGGAGTCGTGTTCCGTCGGCGGAGAGGTGGGCTAGGTGTGAGTAGAGGATGTTTCGGCCGGTGAGGAGGTGCCAGTGTGCCTCGATGCACAGGTCTGCGCATTTCTCGGTGCATGCGTAGACGCGGCCGTGCCGCATGATGCGCACCGTAAAATCGCGCGCCTCGAAGAAGCAGTTGCGCACCCGGCCGGTGTTGAGAAGTGTCTTGCGTACGACATCTTTGAGTGCCTCTGCTTCGGCCACATCCTTGTCTCTATTGCTCCGCTGGACCTCGGCGAACGTGTCTGCCTCACGAAACGCGCGAGAGGATCGTGCAGGGTGGGTGAGTGGGGGCGGGGGTTCGACGGGTGTTGAGGTGGTCGCAACCCGCTCCGCAGCCAGGCCGCGAAGCCGTTGCGTCTCTAGCTCTGCGGCCTCGCGTTTGTCCTTGTCGACGGCCTGCTCGATCTGCGAGAACACGACGTCCCCTTGTTTGAGGGATTCTGGTGTGCCTTCGAAGAGAAAGCCGTCGTCGTTCTTTGTGAAGCCGATGCTGGTGAAGAGAAAATCGACAAAGCCGCACGGCAGGGACCCGGTGGCGCGGCACAGAGCCTTGTTATCTTTCTTCACCTGCCGGAACTTTGGATTATGGAAGTCGAGCAGCAGATTGGCCAGCAGCCGTCTAAAGACGCCGTTGAGACACTCGCGAATGGCCTCTGCGTGCTGGGTGCGACACAGTGCCGCCCACGCCTCCGGGAGCGGAGGGTCCTCCATGTCTTTTTGTTGTTGTTGTTGTGGCGTGAATGGAGGTGAGCTGTATGAAGTGGATGCGTCTGGAGAGTCACCAGAAACAGGCGAGAAAAAAAAAAAAAGTGAGGACATGATTGGAAGGCCCGGTTGCACTTGAGGCGCAACGAAAAAAAACAAAAGAACGAGCTTTTGGACGAGGGAGAAGCCTCGTATGGTACGGAAGGGGGGGGGGCGAATAAGCAATGTCTGCCGTTCTCCCTCTTCCACGCTCGCGTTCGGTCATCGGGTGTTTTTTTTTTTTTTTTTCGGATGCGTGGAGTGGCGGATTGCACGACGCCACGTTCTCTCCCCCCGTTTTTTCTCTTCCGTCCGAGTGCGCGAGCGTCACGCGAGGTTTCTCCTACAGTGCAATAACATCCCTGTCAGTCGACATGCGATGGTCGTCTAGTGGTTAGGACATTCGCCTCACACGCGAGAGATCGCGGGTTCAATCCCCGCCCGTCGTACACTTTTTTCCATTTGTTCAGACACACGCAAACATACCTCTAATTTCTCGCTGGCAGCATCGGGGAAATAGTTCAGTGGCAGAACATCAGATTGTGGCTCTGATAACCCGGGTCCGATTCCCGGTTTCCCCTCACTTTTTTTTTTGTGTTGGAGAAGGACAGCCAGCAACAACAAAAAAGGTATGCCGCGACCCGGGATCGAACCAGGGACCTTCAGATCTTCAGTCTGACGCTCTCCCAACTGAGCTATCGCGGCTTGCTGTTGTGCAGCGTTTTTTTTTTGGCCTCTCCAGCGAGGGAGTTCGCGATCGTTCTCTCGCCGCAACCTGGATGTGTGCCCGCACCTCGAGGTCCATCATTGAAAAGAAAAGCAAGCGGAGCTGACAGATCCCTCCCCCCTCTCTTTTGATTTGTGCTGCGCGGTCCCCTTGTTTCCTTCCCCTCCCCCCCCCTCTTCAATAGGGAGCCTCATTTTGGAGAGGCGAAAGTACCGATCGCAGCCTTTGTGTTGGGGAGTCACAACAACAACGAAGAGGAGAGTCTCGCTTCTCCACTTGAAAAAAAAGAAAAAAAAAAAGGAGTGAGGTGGTGTGCCTCATTCTCTCTCCATCTACAATTTACCAGGTCCCTTTCGCCTCCCCTTCTGCTCTCTCTTTTTTTTTTTTCCCCCCTTTTCTTGCAACTGGAGCGTAGTAGCAGCGCTCCGCGCGTGGCATCTGCATAGACGCACCCTCGAGAGACAAGGGGGTCAGGATGAACGACGACGTGGTGCGTTTCTTTAGCCGCACCAGCCACTACAGGCCCGAGGTGCTGCGCCGGATCGTGATGGACATCGACACGGTCTGCCACTCTCTCTGCTTCTCGCGCAAAATCACAACGTGGGGCCGGACGGAGCAGCCCAAGATATGCCTCTACGGCGGACTCCCCGTTAGCTTCCCCATTTTCCCCAAAAGCGACAGCGGCGACGGCGAGCGCGCCGCTGCCGGCGAACCCGTTATGCAGCCTTTTCTGTTGCCGATACAGATCTGGGTCTCGCACCAGTTTCCGGTGGAGCCACCCTTCATCTACCTCGTCTGCACTCGCACCACCGACCACGCCCGGATCCCTGATTCAGTGAACGCGTCTGTCGTGAAGATCGTCAGCAATCACCCCAACGTCGACTTTACCGGTCTGTGCTTCTGCAAGGAGCTTGCCGAGTGGAGGCCAGCCACCTCGTCGCTGTGCCTCACCGTGGAGCGCCTCGGTCGTGCGCTCGAGAAGAGCGGCCGCTGTCCCATCTACGTGGACCACGGCATCTGGGGAAACTCACTGGCGGTGGACGGCAACAGCAGCGACTCGGAGGACAAGAGCGTCACCGACGACGTGCTTGACAACGCCTGTCTCGTATGCTACAAAAAGAAAGACACAGTGCTTGTGCCGTGTGGCCACTTTTGCGTCTGCATATCCTGCGCGGCGAACTTGACGGAGTGTCCGCTCTGCCGCTCCAAGATTATGGTCCGACAAAGGGTCTACGAGTGACCTGCTTTTTTTTTCTTTTTTTTTTGTGACTGAGATTTGTCACGCGTCTGTCTCGTGCGCGTTGTTGCGGTGTACATTTTTTTTTTTTTTTTCACTTTGGTGATGACTTCCTTTTTTTTTTTTTTTTGCGGCCCCCTGATCTTGTTTGCCGAATCCTTGGGGGTTGTCGCATGTACATCCCAACTGAACCTGCTCTGAAGTCATTGCTCTTACTTTTTTTTTTTTTTTTTGTGTGTGTGTGTGTTGCTGTAGAGCATGTGACTGTGTGTGCATTTTGGAAGCTTGCTGGTGTTTCCTTTTTTTTTTTGTGTTTGTTTTCCTTCGCAAGGCTTGGGCAACAGTTGGAACCACTTCAGGCTGCACTAGCAGGCAACCCGGCTTTCAGGGGTAGCCCAGTGGAGTCTTCCACAGACCCTGTCACAGAGAAGTAAATCGAGCGCACACACGCAAGTGGAAAGGGCTAAAAGAAATGGGGGCTTGTGGTGGCGAGGAGAGGTGGGATGGGTTTCCCTACACCCACCCACCCACACAAACACACCGAGAAGCACAGAAAATGAGGAAACACTGTCAGCAGCTATCATGGTCAACATCCTCTCCACATACATGCACTCCTCATCACCATCGCCTTGCACGTCACTCTGCTATGCCCTCTTCGCTCGCCCATTTCGACTCCGTCCTAAGTTGTTCTCTCTCTTGCGCTCTACGGCGTCATAAGCGAGAACCGAGATTAGTTTTTTTCTTTTTTTTTTTTGTGACGAGCAAACAACAAAAAAAGAAGCAGAGCCACCTCTCATTCTGAGAGGGAGCACGCACACACGCAAAAAAAAAAAAAAAGCCCATCCCTCACACATACAAGTGACTCATTAAAAAGAAGAGTCTCGGCTGCGACTTTAGTTGCACATAGTGCCTCGCTTTCCCCCAAAGAAACAACAACAACAAAAAAAACAATGTCATCGAAGAAGGTGCTTGTGGTCACCGGTGCAGTGCTGGCGTCCGCTGCTCTCATCGGCACGATCGTTGTTGCACGCTCGCACAAGAAGCCATCTGATGACGAGGACGATGCCTTTTCTTCGGTGCCGAGCACTCTTCCACAGGCAAAGAGGCAGGTTTCTCCTGTGCCGAAGGGCTCGACGCGGTCGGCAGAGTCTGCCACCAAGGAAGTCGTTCCAGCTCCAAGGAATGCCGCGGTAGAGGTGGTGGCGGCGTCTGCCAAACCTGGCCCCACGAAGAAAAAGGGGACCCCAGCGCCTGAGGAGCCCAAGGCGCCGGCGGTAGCGGACCCCTCGGTGTCCCTTCTCGACGAGGCGCTCGACGAGATGGAGCCTGCAAGGCCGAGCGTCGTCGCAGAGGAGCCCAAGGCAGTGACTGTGGCGGCGGCGGCGACCGCCGTAGCGGCCCCGGCGGATAGCACCGACCGCAAGACGTTCGAGCACCTCGGCATCTCCATGAAGGTACCGGAGGGGTGGGAGGTACGCGAGGAACTCTCCCCGATCCCCAACGTAGCAATGGTCACCGTTTGGAACCCTGAATTCGAGCACTTTGCGGATGCCGAGATGCCCGGGGCTGTGCCAGTGATTATACTCTCTGTAGAGGACATTCGCGGCGAGAACCTGAACCTCTCCGAGTTCAAGGACCGCTCGAAGGACTTGTCCATGCAGCAGATGCTCATGATGACCGGCGGGGTTGTGCAGCCGGTGGTGCGTAAGGACAACAGTGTGCAGGAGGGACCGTTCCGCCATCTCCTCGAGTATGCCCAGAGCATGCCACCGTTCTTCGACCTCTCGGTCATCAACCTCCTCGAGGTGCGCAACGGTGTCGCCTACGTCTTCCAGATTATGTGCAAGCCGCAGATCATGAACCAGTACCGCCCGATTTTCATGCAGCTCGCGCGCAACACCGTGGTGACACCGATGGACTCTAGCTCTCTCGGCTTCTTCCGCGTCCACACCGGCGAGGTGTGCATGGATATCGACACCACTTGGAACTGGTCGTACCCGGCCGCCGGCAGCGACGCCTCGCCGCACCTCGCTCAGTTCGAGCTCGCCTCCACCGTCAAGAGGGAGCAGATCACCCTGTTCAGGGAGGACAAGGTCCCGACGACGGACCACAAGCAGCGCAACGAGAAGGTCCTCGGCGGCGTCACGATTCGATCCGCCTTCGACGGCACGCAGGAAAAGAAGACGTTCACCTACAACGGCTACTGCCTCGTCGTGCACCCGCAGCAGAAGGCCATCTCGTACCTGTCCGAAGCCGCGCTTGTGCGCGCCGTGAAGAGCGTCACGCCCTCGTCGGAGGCACCGAGGCCCAAGGCGGGTGCGGCGTTCATCACGACCGAGTACGGCTACTCCTTTGACGTCATCGGCTCCAGCCGTGTGGTGTCGACGAAGCTGGGCAACGGCACAGTCGTCTACGCGCCAAAGGGGATCCCGGCAGACCCAACCAAGGCGGCGTCGCCTGAGGAAACCGGCCCCACTGTCACGATCCGCATCGGTAAGCCCGAGACCGACCCTGACTGCATGGGCACTATCGAGGAGTGGACAGCGCGCATCAAGGAGGAGGCCGCGAACGGCACCATCACGAAGATTCAGGTCATCCAGCTGAAGAACCAAGACTGCCTCACCTTTTTGTCAAAGGAGATGCAGGAGGTGTCGCCTAGCGAAAAAGTGGAGGTGGTCGGCAAGGTGTTCATCTTCGTCCGCGGCGGCACCACGACCCTCGTGCGCTGGGAAAGCGCTACCGGGCTCTGGCGGAAGTATGAACGTGACATGGACGCGTTTCTTGAGTCCTTCGAGTTCCTGGAGGAGTCGGCATAGGCGACGAGAAGGGAGGTGGCAGAGCTAGCGCTGGAACCTCATCACAGACACGAACAGAGGAAAAAAAAAAGTGTGGGAATGCGCGCACCACGAATGAAGGAATAAAAAGAGGAAGTGGAGTCAAGAAGAAGAAAAAAAGAAAAAAAAAAGGAAAGGTGAGTGGAGAGAGAGAAAAAAAAAAGAGAGGAGAGAAGGAGCCGCAAACACAAATCGAGCAGGAGGTGTCTTACACTTCAGTGCCAGAGCAGAGGGAAGGTGTATGCCCCAAGCCGGATGTTTCTCAGAAGAGCGCGGATGAGTGCCTGCGCACGTGATAGTGGTGCACGCGCTCTGTTGCCTCGTTACATAGTTCACAATCCACCTCTCCACATTTTTTTTTTTTTTTTGCTGCTTCTTGAGCTGGCACGAAAGAAAAAAAAAAAAGAAGCGCTTTCGCTAGCACCTCTGCCTGGTAGTTCTCGTCACAGTTTTTTTTTTTGGGGCTCTTTTGTGCTCTCCTGCCTCGTCTCACGCGCGACTCATGGGTCATTGACACGTACGAGCACGGAGGAGGCATCTCTTCTCAGTTCACCACTCGCTCACTTACTTTTTTTTCCTTTTTTTTTTTTTGGAGGTCCACTTTGGCCTCCTCCTTGTGGCTGTCGAACCGGAACACTCTCACAGGCAATCGGCAAGCACATGCGCCGACGCACACACGCAGACGCAACGGTGACGAGGGAAGGGGAGCCGTTGGTTCGCGCTCCTGTGCTTATATGCTTATGAGAGAGTGTGTTTGTGTGTGTGCGACTCTGAAGGCGACTTG